ATTATTATTATTATTATTATTATTATTATTATTGATATCTCCATTCTTGAAATCCTGTTTTTGTGGGTTTCATGAGCTGGAAGCCCAAACTATGTAAAAATAAACAAATAAATACTTGAAATCCTTTAAATTGTGGGCCCTGAATCTACCATCTATTAAATATCAACTTTTTGAATGGAATTATGGAGGTTAAACAACTTTTCCATGATATTCTAAGTTTTTGGAAAGGGTCTGTATATACGTTCATTCATTCAACCTTTATTTCTACAGGTTAATCCCATTGAGCCTCGGAGACTCATTTTCAAGAGACACCTGATTTCTTTAACAAAGAGTGATGACAGCAGTGGAACAACAATAGACAGTCATAAAACAGGCAAACACATTTATAATAATAATAATAATTATAATGAATTTAATTTGTAACACTTTTCACTAACAAAAATCTCATAGTGCTACAAAGTGCAACTAAAATCAAAAATCAACAAAAAATCAATGATAAAATCAACTTTTATTATTTTGTTTTTTACAAATTAAAATAAAATGGCAACCAAATGGACAGTCAAAGGAAAAAGTAGCGAAAAAATAAAACAGCTAGATTATAAGGTGTTGTAGAAAACTAAAAACAGGAACATGTCTGCATTGGTTTTTGCCAGGAACCTTTTCATCCATCCATCATCTTCCGCTTGTTCTGGACTCAGGTCTCGGGGGCAGCATCTTGAGCAGGGAGGCCCAGACCTCTCTCTCCACAGCCTCTTCCAGCTCTTCTGGGAGGACTCCAAGGCGTTCCCAGTCCAACCGAGAAACGTAGTCTCTCCAGCCTGTCCTGGGTCTTCCCCGGGGTCTCCTCCCAGTCGGACATGCCCGAAGCACCCCCCTAGGGAGGCGCTCAGGGATCATCTTTACCAGATGCCCGAACCACCTCAACTGGCTCCTCTCGATGTGGAGAAGCAGTGGTTCTACTCGGAGTCTCTCCCGGATAACCGAACTTCTCACCCTATGTCTAAGGGAGAGTCCAACTACCCTTCAGAGGCAACTCCTTTCAACCGGCTGTATCCACGATCTCATTCTTTCAGTCTCTACCCAGAGCTCGTGATCATGGGTGAGGGGAGGAACGTAGACTGACCGGTAAACAGAGAGTTTTGCCTTACAGCTCAGCTCTCTCACCACCACAACTGACCGGTACAGAGTCCGCAATACTGTAGATGTTGCACTAATCCATCTGTCAATCTCACACTCCATTCTTCCCTCACTCGTAAACAAAACCCGGAGATACTTGAACTGCTCCACTGGAGGTAGAACCTCACCCTCGATCTGGAGAGAGCAATACACCCTTTTTGAGTTGAGGACCATGGCCTCAGATTTGGAGGTCCTGATTCTCATCTCAGCCGCTTCACACTCAGCTGCAAACCACTCCAGTGAGAGCTGAAGATCACGGCACCAACAGGACCACAGGATCTGCAAAGAGCAGAGATGAATCCTGAGGCCACCGAACCGGAAACTCTCCACTCACTGGCTGCACCAATAAATTATGTCCATAAAAGTTATGAACAGAATCGGTGACAATGGGCAGCCCTGGCGGAGTCCAAATCCCACCCTGAAGGGGTCTGACTTACTGCCGGCTATGTGAACCAAACTCTCACACCGCTTGTACAGGGACTAAACAGGCCGTAACAATGGGCCTCCAATCCCATACTCACGGCAAACGGTGACAGGCCAGACAGGAACTTTTTCATTCAACCTTTATTTCAACAGGTTAATCCCATTGAGCCTCGGGGACTCATTTACAAGAGAGACCTGATTTCTTTAACAAAGAGTGATGACAACCATAGATAACAACGACAACAATAGACAGTCATAAAACAGGCATACAAATGTATTTATTATTATTTATTTTTTATAAATTAAAACAAAATTGCAACCAAAAGGACAATCAAGAGGAACAGTAGGAAATAATCAGGTAGATTATAAAGCGATTTAGAAAACTCAAAACAGGAACATGACTGCGTTGGTTTATTCAGGAACTTAGATGTTTGAAGTCACATCGAGAGGTCAAAGGTCGAGAGCTTCAGATCTTTTTACAAGATGTTCCAGGAAACAGGAGCGGAGTAGGAGAAGGTCCTTTTGTCTAGTTCAGTCCTCACTGAGGGAACACTGCAGGTAATGATGTCCTGAGAGCGCACGCTGTAGCTGCACTCACACAGAGACATGTAGGAGGAGATGTATGAAGGCAGCA